TGATGTGTCAGCATGATGTGTTAGCATGATGTGTTAGCATGACATTTGAGCTGACAGACAGCAGCTCACAGCCACCATCGTGCTAACAGATGTTTCAAAAGAACCGAGTGAAGGAAGCTAAACTGGACCACAGCAGATATGTGAGAATGATGCGACTAACATGTCTAAACCAATGAATAAATCATGTAAACCACAGATTCTGGTCATGTTTCACTTTACTCACCTCGTCTGCTGGACCTGCATCTCCACATGAAGTAGGCAGTGATGAGGATGAGGATGGAGAGAAGAAGAAGACCAGTTCCTATCAGGAAACTCTGCACTGGAAAAGCTGGACAAGGTCAGAGTGATGAACATGGATCATGCCTCACATACACGGACACTCTGTAATATTTAATATATAAACACATCAGACCTCACTCTAAATGTCATTTATACTACAGGCCAGAAGAGATGAACACGTTTACATTTAAATCTGTTAAACTGCACTCGTTAGATTCTTTGACGCAATCATACCTGATGGAGCATCGAGGGGCGATGCAGGTATTACTGATGCTTTATGAGTTGTAACAGTAGTTGGTGGTGTTGTCTTATTATCTTGATTACAAAAAAAAGAAAATATAGATACATAAAAAATAACAGCTTAAAAATCAATAATTGAACTTTAAATATACGAGTTGGTTAAAAACAAACTGACAAACTCCACATACAAAAACACAAAATCTAAAACTAAAAGTAAAAAACTGAACTGAAGAATTTCACATAATATTTTGTGATTTGTAAACAATGACTGGATGCTGTCTGACTGATGCTGATGTCACGGGGTCAAGTTGACATGTTTTAACGTTTTTAAGCATTTGTGCACGAGCTGCTGTGTTTTATCATTTTTAATCTTTAATAATGTCCAGTGTTTTATTTGTATTTATTTGCACAGTTTCATTGCATGCTTTTATTGTATATATTGTTGACGTGTTCCCGGAAGATTTCCAGGCATGCCGGTTAAGACTGTGACCAATCAGAGTTCGCTCTTGGCCACCGTAGGTCAATAAGAGGACCTGGCGGGGCAGATGAAGGGTCCAGAGGTAGAGCATGAGAGACTGCAGCAGCGGGACAGCCGGTGGTCGGCGACTGTTGTGGAGAGCGGCAGAAAACAGGAAACTCTACAAAAACATTTTTGTTATTTTGGGTTCATGTGTCTCACCTCTGTCAGGTCTCTGTCCTTCGGTCACAGTCAGATAAACAGCTGGTTTTTCATCACAGTAGTACAGTCCAGAGTCAGCAGGCTCAGCTTCTCTTATACTTAATGTTGTGTCCTCCGTGGAAACAGAAATCCTTCCTTCATTCATTTCTCCAGAGTCGCGTCTCCACGTGGGAACAGCTGATCCTCCAACATCA